CCCATATTCCACCTGCCAATAACTCCTCCCCATATTCTCCCTGCCATTAACTCCTTTCCATATTCCCCCTGCCAATAACTTCTTCCTATATTCCCCCTGCCAATAACTCTTTCCTATATCCTCCCTGCCAATAACTCCTCTCCATATTCCCCCTGCCAATAACTCCTCCCCATATCAACCCTTCCAATAACTCTTTCCTATATCCTCCCTGCCAATAACTCCTACCCATATTCCCCCTGTCAATACCTCCTCCCCATATTCCCCCTGCCAATAACTCCTCCCCATATTCCACCTGCCAATAACTCCTCCCCATATTCTCCCTGCCATTAACTCCTTTCCATATTCCTCCTGCCAATAACTCCTTCCTATATTCCCCCTGCCAATAACTCTTTCCTATATCCTCCCTGCCAATAACTCCTATCCATATTCTCCCTGTCAATACCTCCTCCCCATATTCCCCCCGTCAATAACTCCTCCCCATATTCCACCTGCCAATAACTCCTTTCCATATTCCCCCTGTCAATAACTCCTTCCTATATCCCCCTTGCCAATAACTCCCCATGGTCTTCTAATTCCTCTCTAAGTAATTAAGCTAACAGCTGGTCTGAGATAGATGTGATCATAGGACATTCAAACTGAAACATTACTAACTCGAGGAAGAATAAATAATCAAGACAACACAGTTATAAATATAGAAACAGACTGTCACGTCACCAGACATTTTTTCATGCCAGTCAGATGTAAATAAAAAAAAAACAAAAAAATCAAAACCTATCCTCAGAAACCCTCTTTCCCTACCTTACTTAATTTTCACATAGGTTTGTCCTGCAATCTTTTACTTTTCAGAGAATATAGCCTTACTGAATTTTATGCTAGACTACAAAGCGCCTCACAACCCCTCAAAATATACAAAATTACCCCAAGGTTGAAAAACTTCTGATCAATATAATAGGTTATAGACTTACAGTCATTTTATTCTTTTCAATCTTTAAAATGTTTGTGCCTTTAGATTCCACATAGCTAATTTGGATTTGTCAACTGGGCACCTAGAAGTTTTGGCTTCATTTTGATATTTTACTTTATCAGCTTTGCACCCTTTTCAGAGAAACCATATAACTTATACTGTTATTTTTTTTTATTGTGGCAACCCCTTTCAGAGAAGTTTTGGCAACATTTCGGTATATTGCTTTGTCAACTTAACAACATTTTCAGAGATTCGTAATCAGCATTATTTTGCTAGACTCAAGATATCTAATGCTATTTTGTATCTTTATTCATAGAAAAGGCTTGAGATGCATCCAGTAATCTTCACTATGTTTTTTATCAGAGCAATGTGACAAGATAATGGAGAAGATTTGTTGAAGAAACTGATCAATTTTAACACAACACGAAGATCTGTCAAGAAATACAGAAGCAGGATTTCACTTGTAACTACTCAATGATTTACTGGCAATGAGGCAGAGTTTTTTTTTATATCCTGATAGAAATTTAAATATTTAGAAATGTAATGGAGATGCAAACATAGAGAAAGGACAAAGCTGTCTAACTTTTCTTGTTCTGATTGGAATAATAAAATGAAATAGAATATTACATGAAATAAATTAGAATTTTATTTTGATTTCAGATTAAGGCCTCTTTTCAAATTAAACTGATTTTATGCATTTCCACATATAAAAAACTATACAGTGTATTCTGTGATATTCGACATCCGTGTAATCAGACTATTTTTTTTGTCCTGATATGTCAGTTTAAAAGAAACTTTCTGTACTCGGACATATTTTTACGATCCTAATTCATTTCAAATTACACAAGAGTACATAGTTCTAAAACTCAAGTTGTGTATTTGTACTTCAATTGTACTTTTTTTAGAGTTATATTGAGAACAAGATCCAAACAGTTAAATCACCTTACAATCAAATCAACAACTGACGAAATCAAATTTACCCACGATGCACTTGAGAATAATTTCATTACACGATTAGCGTAATACACACGATAATCTCGGCACTCCGTGTGTAAATCAAATTTCCTAAAATGATTCGTACAAGTCCTTCAGTATCTGTTGTTAGACGACGCTTCTAGTTCTAGTTTATTCTCATTCAATTTGCTCAGTCAAGAGTTTATCAATATGTCAGAATTTATAAAATAAATGAACCCTTCAGTTCTATCCAGACATTATGGAATTGTCTAAGACTAAAAGGTAAAGCTGTTTTACACTATAATTGTGTTGCTGCTACAAATATAGTCCAACTATCAAACTCTTACTTTGCATTTTGCATTCATTTTGACATTTTCATCATCAGTATTTGTTTTTTTTATGGAAATATACTGTGCAACTGTAAGTAAAGATAATGTACACCCACCAGTAGTGTCCTATGAATTACGTATTCTCGATACAAACTTAGAACTAGGATGTCCTAGGGTCTTAATTTATAACACTGGGACAGGAACATCCTAGCACTAGGATCATTTAAAAAATATGTAGCCAGAATAATACATTTAACTTCAGATTCCATTGTTAGTTTCAAATAAAATCAATTTGCTTTAAAGAGTTCATTTTCTAAGTCTGTTTATTTGGAGTCCAGAAGGAATATAAAATGCAATGGAGTTCCACATCCTATCCTTGTCCTTTATTTGGCTATAGTGGCGGAGTTAAAGGGGGGCAGCCCCCCTCGGACGTAAACCTGGCTCTGCCAATGTTTGGCTACTGAAGACAAGATGCGTTCATAGAATGTTTGACATCAGAATAAATTGCTTTTCTACAGTGGAGAAATATTGAAAGACTATGGTTCAGCCTAATTTGGGGGGATTTATTCAGGTCTTGAATAGATGTAAATAATCTTCAGAAGTACTAGAAACATTAGAAAATTGCATAATTCCTTCAAAAATACCTCAAATTAGAAATTTCAAGTTCTATTCTAATATGCCTCTTCTATATATGCCAATGTGGACAGATCTGGACAAGATTGATTTGAAGGCTTGTAAACTGTGAACACTATTACTGATTAGCTTAGCTAAAAAATTCCAGTCTTTGAGAATAAGGTATGATTAGTCAAACGGATGGTGATGTTGATGGAATGTGCACATCACTGGTAGGGGAAATCAAGTAGCAAGGACTAGAAAGTGGAATGTAGCAGATTATAACCATTCAAACAAACAGAAACAAACACTTAAAATCTTCTTCACAGTCTCATTACATTCCACTTTCTTCAATCTTATACATTGTTGAATAACCAGAAGAGATCAGAAGTTATATGATTATTATAAAAGCTTTTCCTCATAAACAAAACACCTCACTTTTATACATCATTTAGATTTTGTTTCATGATAACTCTTGCACTTAAACATTGATATCTTTTATTTAATAGTGTGTATTACGTCATAAAAATCATAAATATTGCATAATTTTACATTATAAAATTTTGATGTGTGATATGTTTGATCGGTTACAAGTCGTCATTTTAACATTCAAAGAGATAATTCTGGACACACATGGATTTGAAGGATCAAATTTCGACTGTGAGCTGTGAACTATAATACTGATTAGCTTAGCTCCAATATTCCCATTTCTAAAGTAAAAGTATGATTGGTCAAAAAAGAATGGTGCACCAGTCCCTTGAAGTAACTTCCGAAAACTTGCATGATTTTCATCGTAACAAGAAATAAATTTCTCAGTGGGTAAAGTAAAGGGCATGAGGCAGACGAGAATCTTGGAAGAAGAATAACCAGATTATGTGGCCAGTGACATTTAAATTTCATCACCCTCTTTCAGCACGCAAAGCATTCCAACCTCAATTTGAAACTAGTTCTGGTGTTTTAAATCAAAATGATATTAGTTATCTAGTCATCAGATAAGTCAATCACCGAGTCTAATTTTAAATTTATCATATCATCCAATCAGATTATTTTAAATCTTGAATTTATCTAGGTACAGTTTTCCGAATATAACGCCCAGGTTTGAAAGGTTATACAATCGACTAGTAGCTAATTTCATGACACCTTTCTTGTAAAAATTCTTCATTTGGGGTTTATTTTCTGCAATAAGGAATATGTGCAAAGCAATCCAAGTCACTGAACAGGAGGAAGAAGGCAATGTGAATATTCTATAGATCTTATTGTCTCAAGCTCATGAGAGTACCAGGGTATATGCATCCATTTACAACAGTCAGTTATATCAAAATTTGTCACACAGGCTCTAACTTCTGGTGCTCACCATTTGTGGCTCATCAGTGCTTGCAACAAGGCAAACAACGGAATTTGAAAAACAACAAGAAAACAGGCCTTTTGTCCCCAGCTTTGTGGCGCTTTGTCTTAATTACTTGAGAAACCCTGTGGTAAACTATTATACCATATACTACAAGATTAATTGTCTGTATAGAAAGACAATCTTATCTCTATATATATACATTTGATGCTACAGTTGGTGTTAGTGCTATTGGAAGTTTACCCAATCAGAAAGAAAGAAATAAGATGAAGACGGTTAGAGGATCTTGTACAGTACAAAACTAATATCTAGAGCTAAGAGATCTGATAGATATTTTGTAGCTAAATTATTTAAAGATTGGTACAGCATCAGAAGAAGTCTTATATTATGTCTGTGTACACGTGTAGGCTATTGGAAGAATGTGTAGGCTATGTCCTTTCATTTAACGTCTCCAAGGTTCTGGGTCATAGTATATAGGTCTCACCCAAATTAACAGTTAAGGATCCTTTCTACCAGCTGGTCCTTGGTCAAACGTCTTGGCATTGATCTTTCCCAGGATTATCCGTACCCATTTACAGCTGGGTCGACTGGAATTATGAGTGAAGATGACTTATTCAAGGTCATTGGACTTTCAGATGCTGATCAAGATTGGAACCCACAGCTACCATTTATTACCACAATTCAGATATTGAACACAATACCCAATCAAACCATATAAGTAAACATACAAAAACTGACATTTTGGACCTAGACTTGATTTCCATGCCATTAAAATAAAGCCTTATAAAAGCAACTGTTATAGGATTACTAGACAGCAAAAGATGGATTATCAAGTCTTATAAAAGTAAATTTCACATCAATATTAATCCCATGATGACATTAGCTTGGCTTTACAAGACGGAATTAGAATCGTAAAAGGTTCAAGATTTCTATGACCAGGTTTTGTAAGTTGAAATGTTTGACTAGAATAAATGTGACAAGTAATTGGGTAAAATGCATGTGACATATCAGTTAAAGGGACAGGTTTGCAATATGTTTGACCAATCATACCTTAGTCTCAGAAAAGGGAATTCACAGCTCACCATGTGTGTCCAGTATTATCTTAGTTTGAAGGCTAAAATGTCATTTTTTTTTTTAGGACAGACGTACATAGAAATATAAA